ACACCATAAGCTCCCCTGGTTCTTAAGCCTTTGGGCTCAGACCAACTTACATCATTGACTTTCCTGGATCTCCAGTTTGCAAACAACAGATTTGGGACTTAACCCCCATAACTGCTCGGGCCAAGTCCTGGTAATAAATCTATCTATCTGGGCACCTGGGTGGCTCAGTCAGTTAAAGATCTGACTCTTTATTTCAGCTCACATCATGATCTCACGGTTCATGAGTTCAAGCCCCACATTAGACTCTGCACTAACAGCTGGGAGCCTGCTTGAGATTCTCTCTGTCTCTGTCTCTGCCCTTCCCCCACTCCTGCTTACTCTCTGTCAAAATAAATAAATAAACTTTTTAAAAAATATTAATCTATTTATCTATCATATTTATTTAATATTATATTAACTTTATAATTATATACAAATTTATATAATATAATGTTAAATTTATTATATATGTATATAGATACATACAATTGATTCTGTTCCTCTGAAGAACCTTAATACCACTCTAAATTATAAAATTTCAAAATACATGAAGCAAAAACTAAAAGAACTGAAATGAGAAACAAACAAATCCACAATAATAGTTGAGCCCTGAACACATCTGTCTCTGCCATTGACAGTATGACTCAATAGGAAATCAATGAAGAAATAAGGTGATTGAGCAAGACCATTGTCCAGTTGGATTTCATGGACATTTATAAAACATTCATCCAATAGCAACAGAATACACATTCTTTTCAAGTGTACATGGAGTATTAACAAAGATAGATCATATTTTAGGCCACAAAGAAGTCTCAATAGAATAAAAAGATTGAAATTATATAGATTATGTCCTCCAACATAATGTGATTAAATTAGAAGCCAGTAACAGAAAGATACCTGAACGTATTTTTGAAAACTAGACACACAACATACTTATTCTAAACAAACCATAGTTCAAAGAAAATTTCATAAAGGACATTAAAATTATTTTTAACTTAAAGAAAATGAAGATACATGTCCACGTTTATGGGAAGTGGCTAAAGCAGTATTTGGGGGAAATTTACAGATTTAAATACTTCTATTAAAATAAAAGTGTCAAATCAATGAGCTAAGCTTCCATCTGAAGAAGATAAAAAAAGTGCAAATTCAACATAAAATAATATAAGAAAGACAATAATACAGCTAAAAATAGAAATCAATAAAATAGAAAACTGGCACATAATAGAAAAAAATCAATGAACCCAAAAGTCTGTAATTTGAAAAGATTAGTAAAATGGTAAACTACTAACTAGATTCATCAGGACAAAAAAATAGAGAAGTCACAAATTATTAATATCAGGAATGAAAAAGGGAGCCTTACTACAGACAATATAAACAATAGAAAAATAATATGTCAACAACTTTATGCCAACAAATTTGACAACTTAGATGAAAAAGACAAATTCTTGAAAGACACTAATTATTAAAGCTCCCTCAAGAAGAAAGAGTATACCTGCAAATTTCTATATCAATTAAGAAATTGAATTCACAATTCCTTAAAGCATTTAATGATGAAATAATACCAATACCAATCCCACATATACTCTTTCAAGAAACAGAGGAGGAGGAAAGACTTCCCAACTCATTTTATGATACCAGCATTGCCTTGATAAAAAACCAAGGCATCGACATTACAAGAAAGACAAATAAAGAAAAAAAAATCCATCATGAATTCTTAAAATGCTAGCAAATAGAATTAGCATGACATAAAAAGAATAGTACTTCACAACCAAGTGCAGTTTATTTCAAGAATGGAAGTTTACTTTAACATTTAAAAAACCGGGGCGCCTGGGTGGCTTAGTCGGTTAAGCGTCCGACTTTCGCTTAGGTCATGATCTCGCGGTTCGTGGGTTCGAGCCCCGCGTCGGGCTCTGTGCTGACTGCCAGCTCAGAGCCTGGAGCCTGTTTCAGTCTGTCACTCCCTCTCTCTCTCTTACCCTCTCCTGCTCACGCTGTCTCTCTCTCTCCTAGAAATAAATAAAACATTAAAAAAAAAAATTAAAAAACCAATTGATATAATGTGCCTTATTCATGGGATGTAAGTGAAAACAGGATTATCCATAAATTATTCAACAAAATTCAGCAGAAATTCATGATAAAAACTCTCAAAAACTGTAAATAGAAAATAATTTCCTTGATCTAGAAAGGACATCTACAAAAAACATAAAACCTACAGCTGTCAACATTAATGGTGAAATATTAAGGACGGTCACCACTTGTAACAAATTAGGATTAACCAATGAGATACACTGTCAGGAGACTGGACAGCCAAGCAACAGTATGTCAAGACTTTTAGGCTGGTTTCCTTCCTTCTAGAATGCAGGTTGGCTCCATCTTCCACCAAAGGACACAGCTACCAGCTCTCCCTTGAGATAAAGGTCACTTTCTTCAGGACCAGGTAATTGTTCCTCCAGGATTTTGCTGCTCCTCCCCTACCCTAATTAGGTTTCACAAAACCCTGTCCACACCTTTGCAAACTGTTTTTTATTTGTTTGTTTTTATTATTTATTTTTGAGAAACACAGGGAGAATGCAAGCAGGGGAGGGGCAGAGAGAGAGAATACCAAGCAGGCTCTATGCTGTCAGTGCAGAGCCCGATGTGGGGCTTAAACTCATGAAACTGAAATCATGACCTGAGCCATAATCAAGAGTCGAAGGCCCAACGAACCGAGCCACCCAGGTGACCCTATAAACTGTTTCATTTTGTTTTGTTTTGTTTTGTTTTGTTTTGTTTTGAGTAAACCCAGCTCAATTCCCTCGGTGAAGTGTGTCATTCTATCCCCCACCAGGCCCCTCAGTCACACACAACCTAATTTCATATCCACCATCATATGCTTTCAAAATACAGGAACAAACTCTTCTATAACAGAAAGTTCTCTACTCCCCAGGGGCAGCATTCTCCAGTGAAATCCGGATGAGTAAGAGATAAGGTTTTCTTCTACAAATAGAAGCAGGAAGGATTGCAAAGGGGAAGATAAGAAAGAGAATAGACAAGTCCTTAGAACAGTGACCTTTATAGGAAAGTTTGAATGAAAAGCTGAGGCTCTGGAAAGCTCCTGAACACTCTGTGTACCTCCATTCCAGAGCCTGGGCCCCATGGGAAACCTTTACTGGTCGCCAGGGGTTGATCTCAAAGCGTGACAAAATCAAGCAGAGTATCACCCAGAGAAAAAAAAAAGAAAGGTCACTGCTTGGACAAATCGTTCAGATTTACAGGGGTCTACTTTGCTTAGACATATTTTCTTTTCCAAAGCCGCTAATACCAAGCAGCCAAAGAAGTATGAGACACAGTTGAGATCGTGAAACTGGATCTTTTGTATATTCTAAGGTTGAGTCTACACAATAGCGAAGTGTCGGATGTTTTGTCTCCACTTTGCCAAACATCTGGATTGAATGAGGATTCAACGAAATGGATTTGATGTTCATCTTGTTTCGCCTTTTAAGGCTGGCTTCTACTCCTTCTGGCTGTGAAACACCCTTTGATATCAGTAGCAGATAAGAGCATGAAATCAACTGTCTGCACACAAGAAAAGAAAGGAAGCCTTGCTCATTCTTTCCATGAATATCCTTTCTTTCTTTTCCTTCCTTCTTCCCAAACCCTCTAAGGGACTTGAAGCTATATGCTGTGTCTCCCCACCTTCATCCATCGAAGAGGGCAGATGAGGTACCCTCCCCCATTCTCTGCCACGACCACATGGTCTCCAGCCTCCATTTCAGGCCTCCTCCTCTGTCCTGCTCATTTTTCCTCCTCAAAGCTGGCAGTCTTGCTCCTGGTAATCTCTCCACCTCTCTGGTCTCGCCCGGGGATAGAGGGGACATAGCCGCAGCCTATCTCTGAGCCACACGTTCAACGACAAAGCGACATAATGAGTTGCATTTTGTTGAGGGCTCTCTAGGTCCCCCAAATCTTTCTCAAATGTGATTGTTTATAAAATGTTTGATAAAAATAAATGATGCTTTCAATTTAAACAAAATTTCACACTGTTACTGGTTTTAATAACAGTTTTGACAGATGAGATTTTCATCATCTGTTTTTTCTTTGTGAAGGCTTCTTCAATAAACTAAAAATGCTTTAAACTAACAGATGTGACTATAAAGTAAGGCTTGGGTGTGAGACATCAGGAACTAAGGCTTGTCAAATGCTTCGACATAGAAATTTATTCCCCGTGCAAGCATCTCCTGGGTATCGGGAAAGTCACCAACCTAATGATTGCCGGCTAACGTGTGAAGCTCATTTTAGCAGCAAGATGCCATTTATCCCAAACAGGGAATATATCTAAGTCTGCTCCCCCAGACCTAGTGAGTTCCGCTACCCAGCTCTCAGAAACCTATTGAAAAGTCAACCCAAATTCCCTCGATGTGATGTTGACATTTGACAAACTGAATGTTCACGATTCTTTTCTCCATCCCCTCAAAATTTTCAGTTTTCACTGATACCCTGTTTACAATAAAGAAGTTATTTCTGCCCACTTTAAAGTACATAAATACTTATTTTTTTTAACAGACTTGAAAGCTGGGAATTAAGACTGCAGTGCTCTGATTTTGAAATAGCTCCCTTGCCTCCAAAATATAACAGTTTGAGGGCTGGGGTTTTTTTTCCCTTTTTTGTGGTGTCTTTATATATTTTAAACAGTTATTCTTGCACAGAGAGATACAACATTGTGAGGCAAATTGACAAATCAGTTCAGCAACAAAAGTAATTCTAAAGGTTAGTTAAATTAAGGAGGGATATTATGTAAAGAAAGTTTTTCTTAAACCTTGTTATATTCCACATGAAATATCCTCTCGCACCAAGAAGTACATGCCAAAATGTATTAACATGATCTAGAGATTAAAGCTAGAAATTGAAAAATATTTCCTTCCATTTATATCTCTTCCGCTAACATAACATATATTCTAACAAGTTATTTAATCCACAGCTTTGCGCTTCCCTGAAATGGGCACAGGAGGAAGTTAAGGAAAGGGTAACATGTCACTTCTTACCTCACCAGTGTTCCTTGGCTGCCCGGTGTAATGACCCCCTTGGTAGGTCTGGGCCAGCCCTGATAGGAACAAGAGCTCATTCTCTTCTTCTAAAGGTTAACCCAAGGAAGTTTCTATGACAAGAGATATTCACAAGGATCATCCCAGTTCAGGGCTCTGACAGAGCTAGTGGGAGGGGCTGTCTTGAGTCCACTTTCACCTGAGACAGGCTGGCAGACCTTAAAAGAAAGCACTGCATGAAGGAGGGAAGAGCTGCAATGAGGAGAGAGAAGACTGACCTCAATGCCAAGAACAGCCCTAGAAGGAGGAGGTTGGGTAGCCCAGAGCTAGCGTGCAAAGGCCACGTCCAGTCAGATGTGGGTTGAGCAACAGTTGGAACAATGTGGTACTGGAGCAGAGCCAATGGGGAACACAAGGTCTAGGTACCTTTGCTGGGAGGAGGCAAGATCTAGCTCCTGGGAGAGAGACTAGAAAGAACCAAGCAGAGCTTCAGAGCTCCCATCCTGGCTGGAGTCTAGAGTTCTAGACAGAAGATCTAGAGAGCAGCCTGGGGGGGTGGGGGTGGGGGGCGAAGCAAGCAGTTGATCCAATAGTTTGGGTTGAGAGATGTCAGGACAGGGTGGACGGGGGTCAGACTCGGGCTTCGTGCGCTCAGGCTTCAGTGCTGGTGTAGCACATTGACTCATAAACACACAGCTAGGTGTCTGTCTCCCCTGCTAGACTGTGAACTCCCTGGAAAGGAGCCACGGTGTGTTCTTCTTTGGATCTTTGGCACCTTCAGAGCATCTCCAAGTAACAGGAACTTCGTTCATGCCTCTGAATGAGTGAATAAAGGAACCAGAGTGAAAAATCAGTGAATGAATAAACCCATAACCGCTTGAAGCTCTAAGAACACACAATTATATCTGGCACTTTGAACGTACTTGTACGGCAGAATTCTGTTTTCAGATCATAAAGAGAATAAGCTGATGACGACCGTGGCATACTTTTCTAAGTAGGAAGAAAGACTTAAAATAATACCCCGTGACTTTATCTTTTATAGATTCTCAGATCACCTTGAGGATTCATTACCTGTTAACTCTACTTGGACTCATATTATGATCAGAAATGCAGCAAATGAAGAAAATAAATGCAGTGTTTAACTATGGCTATTAAAAAAATCCTTTTAATTCTTCAGCCCAACATGTCAGAGACTTAAGACTATCATGTCTTCCCTTTTCTCAAGCTGTGAAAGAAGTGTATCTCCCCTTCAAGCTCTCCTTCCCCAGTGTAGTTCAAATAATCACCCTCCTCAAACATTTCTAGTCTCTCCTCTGTTTCTCTCTCTTTGACTTCTTCTGACTTCCACTTTTTTTTTTCTAGGAGAGAGAGAGAGAGAGAGACAGCGTGAGCAGGGAAGGGTCAGAGAGAGAGGGAGTCACAGCCTCTGAAACAGGCTCCAGGCTCTGAGCTGGCAGTCAGCACAGAGCCCAACGCGGGGCTCGAACCCACGAACCGTGAGATCATGACCTAAGCGAAAGTCGGACCCTTAACCGACTAAGCCACCCAGGTGCCCCTTCTGACTTCCACTTCTAAACATGCTCCCTGTATTCACTCATCAATCAGCCATTCACTCATTTATTCATTCAACAAACCTTAATTCAGCTCTGTGCCAAGTACTATCCCAAGTTCGGAGTATTCAAAGGTAAGAAAAGAGATGGTCCTTGCCCTCAAGAATATTCCAGTAAAACGGGGAAGACAAACTCATAAGCACCGAAATAATAGGACTCTCCTTGTCCTGTGGAAGATTTCGATCCAGTTCCATCTAATGACCCTTTGGAAAGAAGAGGGGATTCCTTTCCTTGTTATCACCACCTTGGGCTCCACCACCTGGGGTTGTTATAAATCAGATGAGGCTTGGGCAAGATCTTGGGGAATCCACAAATCTGGCTCTACCATGATATGCTGAATGCTGCTGGGGCTGGTTCTCACCAGTTGGCACTGATAAAGGGTGTTAAGTGGATTCCCCTGTACCTCAATGGAGTGGGGGACAAAGAGAGTCTTTCCTGCTAGAGACCTGCAGGCCTGCTCTCCAATTATCTGATAACTTTACCTCCTCCCTTTCCCTGCCCTTGGGGATCTATAATCTAATCTCTGAACTAGATTAGTTTCCAAAGGCAAGAAAAACTTGCTCAACAAGTATACACCCAAATCTTTCTCATTTACACTAAGGCCAGAAGATTTTCACATGTGTTTTGCCTTTGTTTTGGGTGATTCACTGTCTAGCTGTCTAGTCCTGTGGCTGGGGGTGGGGGGGTGGGGGGGGGAAGGAAAGGTTTCAGAGAACAGCAGGATGAGGGATTTCTCTCTTTAGAATACAAGTAAAGACACTGGGTGTTATGTGGAAACTAATTTGACAATAAAGTATTTGTAAAATAAAATAAAATTACAAAAAAAAAGAATACAACTAAAGAAATGCCTTTACCGCAAGGACAGACAAACATCTACTAGTATATTAAATGTATTAATATATTAGAATACAATCCCTTCACCTTGCTAATATAAACTGCTAAGTAACACATTGCATTACAAGAGAGGGATGGAGCCATTGAGGCTGGGGGATACAGAGACCTGGACCCTGCCCCCGTCTGCCAGGAGAGAGAGCTGTGTTCCTGCCAAAGGCTCTACCTCAGTCTCTTTCCACACTTCTTCTCTGTTTCATGCATAACCAACACTTTATCCATTCTTTTCTGAATCCTTGCAACCCGGATCCTGTGTTCACTGCAGAGCCGCAAGGAGGCTTTTAAAAGGTCACCCTTCCTTTGTACCTGGCATATCCAGGGGCCATTTCTCAGTTCTCACTTTCCTTCATGTCTCTGAAGCTCACGTCACTACATCCCATGGTCACGAGTACTAACTACAACGTTCGCTTATTCACTCACCAAGATTCTGAACAGCATTACCTTTGGTGGTCTGGCTCTTAGAACAATTTGAATATGTTTTCCCAAGTGACACTCTCTTCTCCTAGTTATGATGTCATCCTGGCAGGGACAGGCGGGATAGAGACGCTGTCTCCCCTGTCAGGGGTCTGTAGAAAAAAATCTTTAAGAACATGAAGACCTGCGTTCTAATCCCAGCTGTATTATCTGCTATTCCATGGAGCTTGGCAAATCGCTCAATGACTTCAGAGGTGACCATAGTGATGAACAGATCCTACGTGGGCAGCGGGCAGCTGAGCTGATGCCCCAGGGCACTGCACAGCGGCACCCAGGCTAGGAGAAGCCTACACAGCAATTTTCAGGATGAGCATACACCTGCCAAGGATGAACTAACCCCCACGACCCCACCGGAGGGTCATGGGGGCCACTGTGACAACACTTCACTCAGCCCAGCTATGCAAAGGGAGAGAGAGCAAAGGGAGAAGCCCGAGTGAGAAGTTGGGCTCTGTGGCCAGCAGCACCTACCCAGACTTCGGTCTGTTGTTCCATCCACTGTTGCCCATGAGAACAGCCTGCTAGCTGCTGAATGAAAGCTCCTATGGAAGACACCCAGGCTCTAGAAACTTCCCCTAACAGTATGTCAGCACTGGCTTTCAACTGTTTGGAAAATTTGTTTCTACCACTGCAGAAATGAAATCATGCCCTTATTTTCCCCAACATTTTTCTTCTTAATTAAATAGGCCCACTCCTCTTGCTCACATGAAGAGAAAAAGAGCTCCTTTTTAGCTGAACACAGCTGGCTCACTTTCTTTCATTAGGACTCATTTTTACTAGTTAACCCACCAATGTACGTACAATGAGATAACTGCAAAAAAATCTAAAGCACTTACATAGTAGTCTTATTGACCAACGATATTATCTCTTTTACTCATTTGCCTTTCATCGCATGTAAATTTCTCTATATATATGGAAATATATACGTGTGTGTGTGTGTGTATATATATATATTTTTTAAACCATCGCATTTTTTCCTTTTACCTCTTGGTTCATATCAATGGATTTCCCACAAGACTAACTCCATTCTCAGAGCTTTTCTGTCTGCACTAACCAGCAGAATTCCCTCATGTTCAGGACTAACGTCCTGACCTGCACATGGATGGCATCCATGGGGTTGGTGCTCATCACCCAGTGCCATCCCAGTCTTGTAGCCCAGGACCTTCACCCAAGCCCAGGCTCTCATTCAATTCTGTAGGCAGAGAAAGGAAAGTGACAAGAGCCTCTCTATGAATGGTTTATCCTGAACCAGAGTCTGTGTTTTATAAATGCTTATCCTTACCAGCATCTGTCTGGATATACATCATTATCTGTATTTTTCAAGTTACAGAACTGAGGCACAGGAAAATGACATTAGCAAAGGTTCCCCAGCGAATAACACACAAAGAACTTGTGTAGCCAGGTTATTTACTATGATCAGACTCCTGTGCCTATGAGATTTTCTACCACGCTACTTCCCATGAAAATACAATCAGTCACAATCATTCTGTGGTTTCATTCAAGAAAGGGATCTATTTCTCCACACTAAATTTGAAGTTTATATTATTTGGAATATTAAAAACACTTGAAAAACATACTGATTAATGTCCAAGGTCAATGTGTGGCATCTACACATGTGTCTTGAGAGTTGACCCAGTACAGGTAGCTATTACAGGCCTTGGCTGGCAAAAACAATCAAATATACTGCCGTTCATCAAGAAGATCACCATCTCTTTTTCCTGATTCCAATCTCTCTGATAAATAATACCACTGAATTCTATTTTTATACAAAATAAATTTTTCTTAGGCACCTACTGTGACCATGATGTGCAGCCTATACTTGAGCTTACCAAAGAGATTAAGGCACCTCTAACCTCAAAAAACCCACATTCAAGTTGCTTTCTCATATAAAACTATAAGTGGCTTTCAGATATCAACTACCTCAAGCCCAACCTTCTCTACAAAGCACTGACTCCACTGTTCCATCGTCCTGTCCTACTCTGAACTCATAGACTGAGTGCCATCCTGTTTGGTTGTTCTAATTGTCTTATGTCTTAATTTTATCTCTGCAATGACACTATAATCTACTTAACGGCAGAGATCACTACTTACAATCATTCTTTTCA